AATTTAATAAATTTACTCCCCTGTAAAATTTGATTATTATAATTAATTTAAAAAAAAAACAATAATTGGGACAGAATTTCTAAAGAAAAGTTAAAACGTTTATATAAATATTATTTTTTATTGTACGTATCATTTTTACAAATCACCATACTGTGCAGCTGCTCACAAAGAGAAAAATTTGTAAAATCTGATTTATTATAATTCTTAAATATTTAATACAGCTTCATAGTTACACACAAAAAATATTTACCTCATTACATATTTTTATCAATGAAAAAATTATTATTATTTATTGTTCCTTTTATACTTTTTTTTATAGTTGAACCTAATTGTTTCGTGTTTCTCCTCTTTCTAAAAAAAACTTGAACGTAATGTTGTTGCGCAATACCTTTTAAGTGTCCAATTGTTTGGGTTTAATATTTTTTTCTTTTAATGATACATGTTGACTGTATGTTAAATCATTATTATAACATATTGTGTGATAATAGTTAAATGTAATAATTAGAATTGCTGAAGCGATACAAACGCTCGGCTTGGTGTCTAGTTATACAAAGTATATACTATATACATACATATGTGTACTGTGAATATGTGTATAGATCAGTCAGGTATACGGTTAAAATGTACTAAATATACTGCTGGGGACTTTGGCAACGCAGCCCATGTGTGTGTGGTGTGGGGAAAAAATAGGTATAAATTCATGCACAAAAAAACGAGAGAAAAAAATAGCCACCACCTTGTTTCCACCCCGACTGTGTATGTTCCCATAAGTCACGTCCGGATTGCGCCGCCGCCACCAGGGTGGTTTACGGAGTGTAGGCGGGGCGACGGTTTGTGCGCACTCTCAGAGGCCTGAGCACACACGCGCTCGTTCAAAACTATAATAAAAATAATAATAAAAAAATCTCCCCTAATCTATGCAAGCCACGCCATGACGCCCCCGTCGTTTCCACTCGCATCTCGGCGAGAGATGACCCAGGGAAAACCGTCACAATCAGCGAGCAGAGGGTTTTATCAAAGTGTGTGTTTGGGTGTGAGTACGAGAGAGATCAAAATGGCTCTCCGCAATATAGCACGGCCGTCCATATAATACACACACAGGCGTTCGCACACATTTGATAGCTAATGGCAAACTTTACCCTAGCGATATTATGCGCGCCGCTGAGGATAAGGGTTGGCCAAAAAGGGAGGAAACATACGCGTTCGGCCTGGATAATATATTCGATTGTGGCCCAATACCGTATATTAGCGGCACACGACACATCCAAGTCGTTTGTCAAAAAATGGCGATTTCAACGAAAATATACGATTTACTGTCAGTTTCCGTTATTCGATATTTTAATCTCTATGAATAATAGGACCGCCGAGATTAATTTATTTATCTCTCTCCCCTCTATTTACAAAAATAACACAAAGTCCCATTTCGCTTTTACTGTAATCATAGAGGCCAGCTTTAAATGTCGATGAATTTTATGTTACCGCGTAGTTTCACCCCATACTCGCTATGTACGCAAAATTCCCACAACTCACGAACGTGAAGTTAACTCATAAAAATACAGACTACTATGTCAAATAGGCAACTAGTCTGATGAAAATTTGAAAAAGTCTTTGAATAGTAGAACTATATCCACGTTATATATATTATATTTAGTTAAAATTAGGACTTGTTAAAGTGCATCAAAATATATAAGCAAACATATTATAAACTGCACTTTTCTTTTAATTTATAAAAAAAAAAAGTCTACCCCTATTTCATTTCTATATGTAGGTTTAGTCAAGTCTTTGAACGCAGTAACCTATGAATACATAAATACATATTTATTCCAGTGTATTCAACAGTATTTCTAATTCTACCCCGAGAAAGCTCGGTTTGTGTGAGTGGAAGGGTTGTAATAACGACTGTAATAATGACAATAATAATAATGTTTCTCAACTATAATATTACACTGATAAAACTATACAGCAACAAATAAAATAATCTTGTTGGTTTACAAGTTACAATTATTTATCAACATTATACACCTACATTGTTGTAAATAGTATGTATAGAATGTGATGATATAGCGAGACATTCTACACAATACTCCACAATAATTATTACAGTTCTAACAATTATAACGTTGGTTGTATCGTCCAATTATTGTAGATTTTTTTAGTTTATATAAATGCACGGTAAAGGACTGTCAGAACAATTTCTGTTGTCAATTAATTTAGTTAAACGTTCGATGCCAAAGGCTTTGACAGATGATGCGTGACACAAAAAGTAATATTTTGATAATGGTTTTCGGCCATTTCTGTGTTGTGTAAAAATATCTGCAGTAGTACTGCATTATTCCAAGTATGAGTGCATTGAATAAAAACCGAAGCTAAAATTAATTTACAAAAACAAAATTAAGCGTAAATGATAATAATAGTATAATTTGTTTTACATTTTTTATCTCTTCCCAAATACACTACTTGTACCGCCAACCGAATATGAAATCTGTACAGATATACCATGTTAAATTAATACTTCAAGAGTTTCACTTGACATTTTTTCAAATAATTTATATGAATACGTCTATATATGGATAGTTATTGGATAGTTTTCAAAGCATTTATTAAATCTATAACTGATTTAATCACTGGAAAATGATTTGACGCGAATATGTGGACAGTAAAATTCTAGCAAAATATTCAGGCGTTATAATATTTACCAGTACATCATAAACCATGTAGGTACATTTTGTGCAGTATAAAATCAGTATACCCATAGATTTAAAAAGTTATGAAATGTATGCGTTACCATTTAAGTTTCAAAAGTTGCTATCAAAAAAACTAAGTTGGGAGGGAGGTAAAAAAAAAAAAATTGTGAGAAATTGAGATCACATTGTATAAAAACATTATGGAAATTAAAAATTCAATTATTGATTAAAACTAGTGAGATACTGAGTGGTTCGCAATAAGTTGGTCATCCTGTATTAATATTATGTTGTCGATTGTTAATACTCAAGTTAATTACACGTTTACTATCATATTTTAATTTTTTCTTTGCATCAAACTTTATAATATGTAGAATTGAAGTTTATAAATGGACTATCTAAGCAGTATGCTATTTTAATTTATCTAACATGGTATAAATAAACCAAGCATAATAAAAATTATATAACAGCCAACTCTTTTACTTCCATGTTAATGTGACCGCAATGTATACAGCCAGTATTTATTGATTTTGGTATAGTGGTATTAATAAAATAATTTAATTCATTGTTATAAATACAGAAAGCAATAATTTATTATAAAAACCGATCCAATTAAAAAAATGCCAAATGTAAGTGGTAAATGATAAGAATTTGGCAAATTGAATATCACATATAGTTGGGACCCTATTTAAAATTAGCTTAAATTAACTAAATGTTTAAGTTAACGATTTAACTAAATGTTCAGTCAAAAATACTATTTATTAGCCAAGTCGCAACTAAAAAATTTTGGTGGGCACATTAATAGTTTTCAGTATGCACGTACCAGTTTATATCCGAATTACATAATATTATTATAAATATTGTTTTTATAATTATTATTATATTACTCGGTAAAAAAAAATGTTCGAGCTATTTGTAACTGCTGAGATAAGTCCGATCGAGAAAACTCAATAGAGTCGTGGTGAATTTTTTACATGAAACGATTTATAACATTTATACAGTATTATAATATTTTATTTCAATTTACCGGTCATCAATAATAATCGTGGGCGGTGAGACGTGGAGGTGGCGGAGGCGTGGCCGCGGACTGCAGGTGTCCAGGTGCCCGTATCATCTCCACCTCTACCAGCACGTCAAGACTTTAACTTGGTCTGCCTCGATGAGGTGACGGTTAGGTTAGGTCAGGAATGAAGAGACGCGACGTCGGCCGTGCCGGCAGCAGACGGTCGACTATATCGTGTGTAGTTTGTCTCGTTCGTTTCTTTTTTTCTTTCAAATTATTATTATTATTTTTTTTTTTTACAACGGCCCGACTCGCGTTAAAAATAAAACCACTCGTGTCTGACGGCCGAACAAGAGGCGGCGTTGGCATTGGGCGGTGAACGGGGTGCGGGTAAAACTCATCGCCAGACGATTCGCGGCAAATATTAACAATATTATTATTTTATTTTTTTACTCTGCATAAACGGCCGGGCCGTAACGTCAAGTAATTTATATAATGCGTATACATACTCACGCAATCGGCCCGAATGATAACATGCAATAATCATATTATTAGGCTTCAGTCTTAAGACAGTTAATGAGAATCGCACAGCCACTGAAAGCCGTTACGATTGCACTGTCGACCGCAGTACATAAATTAATATGAATTTTACTTTTGAACTGGCGTTTGTATACTTTTAATTTTTATACTAGAACTATTAATTATGGTTAGAAAATCGTTATTTATTCAAAACGAATATAATATAAATCCACACGTACATTATAGGTATACCTACAATTGTCAGTACAACATTAAGCTGTGCCAATGTGTTGAGCTAAGCTAAGGTTTGCGTGCAAGCGTCTATAGACATTTTATTATTAATAAAGAGTGCAGTTATTTTTTAACATATCCTTTTATATATATATATATATATATATAAAAAAAATACTCCGTATCGAAGACAGAAACTGAACATGAGCTAAGGAAAACCGGCTCCATAACAATAATAATTGGACCTCTCACAGTATTTGCATACTCCGCGTATCCTACCTATATGTACGCCTATGCTAAGTGGCCAATGTCTATTAAAAAAAATTACTTAAGTCTATTCAACAAAATTTTAAACTCAACACAAAAAAATTAAACAATCAAACACAATTAACCGTGATTTTAAGAAAGTACGTTTAAAACACATTTCATGACAGTAGCTAATTTTTAGTAGGATAACATAATTATTAATAAGTACCTTATAATTTTGATAAATGTTAATACCAAATTAAAGAACTACGGTATTACATTTATGAGGACATATATTATGTGAAAGGTGAATGACTTACTAGTGCAGAGCTTAACTATTGCCCGCCACTGAACTGCGTGTAGGCCCCGCAGGTAATGCAAAATCAATGTCTGCACTACCCATGCATAAGTGATATGCCAATGCGGTTATCGTATACTTTATAATAACTGTAACATACAAAATTTGTATTATTTTTTATTTACTTGGTATCGAATTTGGGATATTAAAAACTATAGCATTCAGCGTATGCCACTTGAAGTTAGGTATTTATGACAAAAATAGAGTCATCATATTATACGAATTACCATGCAAACATATTATGATAGTATAATTTAAAATAGATAGTCAAATGGTATGCGTCCTTTATTAATTTTTGTTATATTATATTTGCGTGCATGACAGTCCTAGTATACTACTACGTGTGTTATAATGCACTTACGGTGCTAACACTTGCTAATTGAGTGTGTTTCATTGCCGTCTAATTAATTATTACTACATTATTTTAAATAACTAATTCATGACGTGCACACAGGTATCATTGCTTAAAAGGATTAATTAACGAAAAGTGGAAAAGTAAAATACGACGGTTATAGTAATTAAACCCCACTGTTTCGGCCAACCGTTCATGGATGGGTGTGGCACAAATAAGTCTACAATATTAAAATAATTGTAAAATTTAATTTATAGCTAATATTTTGTTTCTAGCCTTTTAAGTTTGACACCAACGACCTGTTGTTAAATTAAAATTTATCTTTTTGCTTTAATTTCCCCATGAGGATAACCAGATGAAATAAAAAGAAAAACAGCTATAAGATTGATTTGTGTTTCTATTTTAGTAAAACAATTTGTGAGGCGTCAAAAATTACGTACAAATATCGTTTTTAATTTATTATGTTTAGAAGAAGACAAGTGATTGAACTTTCTACTTATAGCACTGACGAGAAATTATATTATGCATTATATCGATAAAAGTCTGAATATAATGTATAAATAATAATAATAATATAATAATAATAATAATGATATAATGATAAAAATAATACTACACTCCACCCTTCTTCCGCTAAATCTAACTTCTGACTGAAAAAAAAAATACAAAAACTTTCAGTTATTATTTTATTATAAAAATGAAAAATGTCTCACGTAGGTTAATTTTTCAAAATTTTAGTGTACAATCAATAAATTAGGGGTTACCTTTAACTTTGAACACACCGTAGGTATACTAATATTATTATGTAAGCATACGCTGTGTTTCGTATGAACGAGTTATTGCCCCGCCGGGAGACGAGTTTGGCTATAAATCAGATATTATATGTATTATGCGTTTTGCAGTTTTTCAACATTTCAGAGTGTTAAGTGCACACACCGGTCGGGGTATGATCCTTTTTGCGATTCGTGAAATGCACAGAATTTTATAACGTTTCCATTATATTACATCAAGTGCGATTATTGGATTGCCAACTAGTTATTTCCGAGATAGTTTTATGACTCTTAGTCTTCGGTCTGCTGATGAAAACAGCCTCGTTAATAGCCAATTGGTCTATAATAATATATTTATACCTTCGAGCATCGATCACTTTAATATGTTATCTTTATGTGTATTGAAATGTAACAACCAAGTACACATCTATGCAACTTTATTTACAAGATATAGTTTATCATCTTGCTCTTTGAAAAAAAAGGAATATCTATACACGCACTTACTACTTCACAATTATGTTAATGGACATTGCATCGTAAAGGTTAGTCATGTAATAAATATAATATAGGTACATAAAAATAACTTTTTTAATATAATTATTATTGGGGTCGTTAAAATAATACTAATTATAATTTGCTTAACATTTTTAATTAAAGCGCTCGATGAAAAATAAAACTAAGCTCTTCTAAAAATGTTAAGCCTATTTTTCAATAATCTTGTTGTTCAGTTCTTTTATTTTAGGCATGCTGGTTAAAAATGATGGTACACAGTAATATGACATATCAAATATCTACAATATGAAAATAGTATCTACAATATAAAATTAATGGTTGTACATAAATTAATCATTAGGAAGTAATAAATAAAGTCCGAATGTTTAAAGAATTTGATGATTTTATTGGTAACTAATGCAGATGATAAATATTATATAGTACCGAATGAGTATTTATACTTAGATTAATATTAAAGAAGAATGAGAGTATAGGGTGGTTTTCCTACAATTAATGTATAAATCCACATTCACTACTCACAGTGAAAGATAATGATAATTTAGATTACACAAAAAACCTTTTATTTTCAATGTTTCATATTTTACCATCAAGTAGGTGAAGCAAATATTTTGCGGGGTACCTATTTAAAAAATATCTATAATTATTGTATTATTGGGTTCGATTTTTTTAAGTATATTTTGTATTTTTAAAGGTTAAATAATTCTTCTTAATAATATTAATAATTAAATTAAATCAATAAATAAATAAATAAATAAATATATATATATATATATATATATATATATATATATAAATAAGTTATTTTAAATATTATAAAAATTAAAACCATGGGAAGGGTTACTAATGAGCGCTTTCTTTCTTCAAAATTATATTCTTGTACTTATTCATACACTTAACACATATGCTTATTATACAGATTGTAATAATATAGGATTATTATTCCTTCTTAAAAAAAAAAAATTTTTTTTGATAATCTATTTTTTTTAAAAGTCGTTTGATTTAATTTAAAAACTCGCAAAATTACCAAAAAATGTTGACCAATAATAATAATACAAATTTGGCAATTCATTAAAAAAATGCTGATATGGTGGATGTACATGTGTGTATGATGCAATTATTAATGTACGTTGATGGGAATGTATTCATTATTTAGATGGTTGCAGCGTTTTATGAGTTAGTGAGAAACCTCCCCCTGAGCTTTAATCAATATCCACAGAGACCTACCAACGCACACACATGGCAGACAATGTGTAGGGGGCATATAAATTTCACTGTTATTTACATGTTACTGCTGTTGCCTTTTGTATATTTCAAAATGGCCGTTATCCCATTACTATTATTATTACTATGATCGATAGGCGAAAACGCTATCAAATAAATTCAACGATGCCTGTTTCCAATTAAATTATTAAAAATATACCTACTGTCTGCAAAATATGGTATATAATAAAATTTAAAGTAATGATACTAAACTTATGTACAGTATAGTTATGTAGAATATATTCACTATCGCCATAATAGCTAATCGTTACCTAATATCATGAAAACAAATCACAGTGTAACCAAGTGCAATAAGTTCTCACTAAGCACAATTATTGAAATACACTGATACCTAATGCTCGAAAACACTTGATTTTAGAACAGGTAATTTTAACAATTGGACTGTTTCTTTAAACCGCTGAGAAATGCAACGGGTAACCTGTTTAAGTATTGTGTAAAAATGCTTATACTGTTTAAATAGTATAGAACAAAATATAGATTTGAAGTCAATAATGTTATAGTCCAACTCTAAGACAATACATTACAGCTAATCAGATAAATTTGTTTGAGTTTTTTTGTTTTACTACCTAGTGTACTTTTTTCTGATTTTGATCTACGCTATTTTCTCTATAAACGGTTAAATTGAACTCGAGTATTTAAGTAAAATAGTGCATTAACAATATCTCTTTTATTTTTATTTAAAACGCCACTCCTTCACACACGCTTAAGGTGTTGAAGATTGGCTATCAGATTCTCAATAATCTGAAACAAAAACATTAGTGTGCTTTTTTAAAACATTAGGTAATGAGTATAGTTTCAAGTAGCTAATTTTTTTTTGGACTATCGAAGCGTCTATTTACAACTTTTCCCCCCATTATTATAGATCAGTTATTATTTGTCTTATTTGTATGACATAATATTACACTGTATAGCTGTTAAAAAGAAAAAGAACAGCTGTTTAAAAGTGTACGAAAGTTCAAAATAATAACAAAGATAGTTACACGGTTTTTATTGACTTTAACAGTAATATTTGACGATTCCTAAATACTAATAGAAAACTAATGAAAAGTTACACGCGTGGTGTGTTTAATAATTTAATACACCAATGTAGTTTTATTTATTAATGATTCACTTATAAAAGAACCTGATTTTTGTTTTTATATTTAGTTTGTCTAATAATAATTTTAAAAAAATAAGTAAAATAAAAGTTTGGTAAAAGTTTAATAAAAGTTTAGTGTACAAAATACACCAGTGCGTGTAGTTATAAGGGTTAAAATAAAAGAAAGCAAAATCTTTGTACCTTTGCGGGGATCGTCGATGTTGGCGTATCGATGGCGGGAAAACGGCGCAAGTCCATGTCCAGTCGTGGGTGCGTTTTTTTTATTTGACACTGACACTGACTTTGTAATAGATTATTGCAGGCTTCTTTGACTGATACAGTCGGCCGTATTTGAAGATTATAGATTTCCGGGAAGGTGCGCGCGGATCTCAGCGTTTTACGGTAAACGCGGGTACCTACCTACACTAATATATATTCACACTAAAACAGAACTGTATTACTGTGATTATCGATTTTATAGACCGAGTATAATATTTTTATAATAAATAATATTATTAAAAACGACGGAGGCAACTTCGGCGGCGGCGGCGGCGGCGGCAAACGGACACTTTTTGGCGGCGATGCAATTCGACGACGGCGGCGGTGCATACACAATGCACTGCAGTTGTTGTGCATAAGACGCGACGGCCGCAGACCGGGTTTTGAGTGTACATGCAGTTATTGCGGACCGCGGCGACTGGTGTGCTCTGGAGACGGCGCGGCGGGGGCTTGTCGGTCCGCGGCTAAGTAGGAGAGCGAGACAAAGACGCGGGGACCAGACGCGGGGAAAGAGGAGAACGGCGTGTCCGTGTCCGTGTGCGGGTAAGTTCTCTTTCTTGACGATTTGAATAACACACACACACACACACGCACGGCGGTTACGGCAACTAAAAAACAATACATCTATTCTTGTCCGGGGGCACGGGGAAGGGGGGTCCTTTGGCTTTTCTGTCTTTGTTGCGTTACGCGTTCGTTTGGTTGAGCGCGTTTAAGGGATGCGTTGTCTTTGACGGGAACGCCGAACCGGTTGTGGGCGAAAGTTTTTTTTCTCGCGGCTCGCGTGTGAAACTTGAGAGTGGCCAAAAAGACGCTCAGCGACCGTTCCCCCTTTGAGCCGTGGGGGGATTTTTTCGATTTTAGCTGGAATTTTTTCAACAAAAAAAAGTTCACCCCAGTCGTAACGTGTTACCGCCGTGCGCGACTCGCTTGAAACCGGTTCTCCGTCGTGCGGGGGCGGTAGCGGTCACCCTCGTTTATTGTGGGGGAGCGCGATTTTTTTCCGAATTCCATGGGAACTGGAGTGCATGGGAATTCTTCAATGAATTTTGACGGTAACCGGCCGGGAAAAAAGAAATCTTGGAAAATAGTTTCACCCTCACCAGATGAAGTTCAATAGCAAGTTTTTTTTTCAAAAACTGGTTAATAATATATTATCAAACTTGCCGCATCGTCTACGTGGCCTGTAGCTAGTTATTTTTTTTTTACCATTTTATTTGGCCCCTGTTTCCCACAGTGTATATGTATCAAAACCGTTTGTTATTTTTAAGCGACTTAGAACTACAAATACAAGGATATTAAATTGTATGATTAAGAATGAGGTATCCGGGTATGAAATAGGTTTTGTACTTGTAAACAAACAACAATCTGGCAACAACTACTCGAATAACTCAAAACTCTTTAGTTTTTATATGAGTTTTCAAAATGGTTTTGACTTAGGTTCTTTTTTAATTACAATTTAATTATAAGGTATCAAGTATAATTATTTACTTATAATTCATTTATTCCAATTATTTGGTCCAAGTATTGTGTCCCTATAATATTATATAACTTATAGTATAATAATATTTATATAATAAACATTTTTTCTTTGTTTTTTGAGCATACTATAGAGAACAACATTGACTTTAAGGTAAAACGTATATTTTTTCTATAACATAATATGATTAAACGAAGTATTTAAGTTGTACGTCTTAGTATATAACTAAGGCTGCATGTGGAAAAAAATGTTGGTTTTTATATTGTGACTTTATGTATTAAAATGTAATTCTTCCTCATTTATGCTATTAGGTATACAAAATAAATAATGATACAAATAGTACAGTAAACGTTTTTCCAACAATGAGAGTTCCCATTTTTTTTTTCTGAACTTGATATTCTGTCAATGAGATAAACGAAAATGGAAACCTTATCACTGACGTCCTTTTATGGATTTGAAATATTATCCCTCGATTTAATTTCTTGGAATCATATAAATAAAAATGTATATGTTTATCAAACAGTACATTTTTTTATGTTTATCGGGTAATAAGAAGGTTAAATATTTGCTACTGATGTATATTTAGTATTACCATTGAGTATAATATATTGTACAATATATACTCAATAGAATTAGAGTATATGCACCTAATAATGTCAATTAGTTAGTCGAGTTACCAAAATTATAACTATCATTTTTTTGCAATATATTTTTTTAATAAAATAAATATCTATAACATTTCTTTTTACAAATTGTGTCCAAGAATTTCAGTTAATTGAATTGTATAATAATTGTTACTAGATGATTAAATTTCAACAGAGTTGTGTGTTATTCGAATAATTTAAAAAATAGTAATTCAAATAATTTTTATTTTGAATAAATTGTAGAAAAATTATTTGAATAAGAATTTGCACAACTCTGAATGTAAATAAAGGAAGTTAGAGTAAGTGTTGTAGATATTTTCCTTACTTTTTGACTGTAGACTAGTTATATTTAGTGAACAAACAAAATAAGTTATTATATTTTGTTTTTTTTTCATACAATATTTGTATGATTCAATTTATAAAAAATATATACATTTTGTGGAGCGAAATTTTTAAAGAGCAAGGGTAATTTTTTAAATTATTGGCATTATATTATGTACTTTCGGTTAACGATTTCTAAGCTTCAAACGGCATATTTTGTTTATTTTCGTAAATTTATTTATACTCAGATGAGTAACTTCTTTATCTGTATATAAGCTATTTTATACTGAATCATTCATTCATTATTGACGTATAAAATAAATTATTAACTCACATCAATGGTGGTACATTAATATAATATCTATTGTGAAATATATCTGCATGTATTTATAATGATAATATTTTGACAGTGTGTTGTGCGGACTATGGATATTATTTGGAAACGTCGACTTCCGCAAACTTTTGTTATCGTTCAAGCAATGTAATAAATTATAATATTAGTTTGATTACATACTTGAACTTTATATGTATGCAAAATAACGGTCATCATTCAAAATCGTTTACCCCGAAATTGTATATAATATATGATATATTTATATACGATACCGTGAAATTATTATTCCGGTATATGAATCATAATGTGTATAGAGTTTCGGGGTCATTTTAGTTTTCAATTTCATAATAATACCTCTGAAAACAAATCTAATTGATAAACAGTTGATAAAACTGCTTTTTTGTTTGAAAATTTGCTACTTCGATGATTAATAATGTAGGCATTGTACCTAATAATATATTACACTTATATTATATAATTACACTTATACAATATTTTAATACAATAAATGTACAATTATTTTCTATGCAATCTTTGCATTTGCATTGTGTCGTAAAAACATTTATATACTCTCATAATAAAAATCATAAATTTTGATTAATTAGTTAAAATTTGCAACATATTGGTTTTCTATTAAGAAAGATGTTTTTATATATTTATGTAAATATATTTAGTGGGGCTTAATGTTTCATCGTCGCCGTTCAATAATACTAAACTATAAGTAACTGTGATCTATACCTAAATAGCACGAATTGTAGTCGATACATGAATACATCATACAACTGATATTGCAGCGTTCAGTTCATAAACCTCTTATGATTCAGTGGAGGTGACAATAACGGCGTTTTCCGTTTAACGGGACAACGTGGATTGTTTTTTTTATCTCGGCCTCCGTAGGTATCATCTATGTTATCATAACATAATATCATAAAATATTGCTGCGCGTTAAAGGTTTTTAATAGGGTCGAGACACTCATGCGCATATCGCTCAGGATACCGCGGTGGTTATTAACGTCGACATCCTAATGTTATAAAAAAGAAACCTTTCACCCTTCGGCTACTTTTGCTATGTTCCAGTCTAGTAGATGTTGCATCTGCCCCCACTACATTACATCTCATAATACTATACATTATAAGCTTTCATGAAAGTGTCCAAGCGTCGTCTTCCACGCGAAGTCGTTTGTTCCCAGTACCGCCTTAAGCCTATTATCGATAAAATATTTTTATCCGTTCGTTCCTTATCTTTCATTGAGCACTTATTATACGCAACTTTTATTTATGTATTTAATATGATCATTTACATTTGTAGATCAATGGATACCACTTAATGCACTCGCCGTTATAATAAGATGTCGAAGAAACTATAAGCACCAAAATTAACTTCTAATCGGAGTTTCAACTTGATAATCTAATTTTCGTATTGATTCAGTTGATTATTATGAGTTTTATTCTACTTATACTGCACTAGATAGAGCGTAAGTGAATTACCGAAAATCCAACAAAAAAACAGTCGAAATATACACTTAAATAGTATAATATTATAATATATGTTAATATATTTATACAAAGTGACAGAGGCGTAATTTCACTAAAAGTAGTGGGGGCTTTATTCACCGAAAATATTATAAAGACCCCACCCGAATAACTTTTTATAAGTAAGGCAAACAATATTAGGGGGGAATTGGGGGTTCTAATTCCCAAACTAGGGTTTCCAAGAACATTTAAATCACCTTAATTACGCATAATATGATAGGTGATTAGACGTGTACTAATAACATATATCTTTATACGATAACATAACTGTTTTAGTTGAAAAATGTTTGTTAATTAATTTGTGTTAACATTTTTTTGTCAAAAAAATGTTATTTTAAAGAGTAGTTTTCGAGAATAACGCTCGAAAATTACGTAATAGTATAATTAAATTAAAATTATTTAATTGCTAATTTGTCGTATTAGGTTTTAAACCAATCGACAAACCCGTCTTTGATTTTAACTGATTTTAAAATGTTTAATAACCCTTTTAACGTTAAATAATCGCCGTAGATTGGTTCATTAAATTAATAAGCTGTTCATGTTTTTATAATCTGAACATATTTTGTTGATTTAAAATGTACGTTTCAAACCGACATTTTAAGAGTCAACAAAATGCGATTCGTATACTATGCTTATAATATTCCTAACGGGTGATAATAATAATAATAATATTATTCTTGCTGGAACACCCACGATGATATGATATTATATGTATAGAGTTTTCGCGTATAAACAAAACGCGCTCCCATCTCAAAACTGTTTAACCTCGTATGAAGTAAGTCGTTCTGACTTCTGAAGCGTAAATACATCTTTATAGAAATTTCGAAATTTCATGGAATCCCGGACGATGCTAAAGTATTCAGTTTTCTCAGATCAACATTGATTGCAAAGCTATGACGGTTTATTTGCAATAAAAACTGATAAGTACACACTAATATCAATATTCAATATTAATGTAATTTGATAACAAAATTATATGAAATATAACACAGAACAGCTAATATATTTTTATATATAAATTTCAATTTAATTATCAATAATAAAGTGTTATGGAAATAATATACCTAATAATGCAGTTTTTAATTTTTT